TAGGGGAGAAGGTTAACATTGCCCAAATCCTTGAGCTCTGAGGCCTCATAGCTTGAGTAAGGTTTTAAGCAAATCCTCCCAATTGCTTTTATGATCAGTTGAACCCTTCTAGGTTGGGGATTCAGACTCTGCTGGCAAAAAGCAATTTTACCTTCTGTAGAGGGTCAACAAACATTTGAGTGTCTTGCAGAGGGAATAAAGGAACGGCAAACACCTTTTCAACCTGTTTCTGGCTCTGAGAGTCTGAAGCTTCCCTCCAATTGTCACTAAAATAGTCACTTAAAGAAGAAAGAGGTGTGTAGCATTTGCAGATTTTAAAACAGAATGCATAGAGTTGATGATACACAGTGCTGATTTATTGAATGAATAAATGAAGAGTTGCCACACATGTAGGACTTTATGTATTCTGCTTGGGGAAGGGTGTAAAAAATAAAATTCCCCTTTCTTGTATTTTTTCGTGAAAGCTTTAGTACTTCAATAGAAAATAAAGAAATGGAAGGACACTTTGATTTTGATATTCTGTTAACCTACCTATGATGAACAAATGTTTGGAAAGTGATTTATAGGTTCTATTCCATGAGAACATTTTATTTCATAGTATGATTGTGGTTGATGATAAAAGGATGTGTGGAATTAGCAGTTGGCGTAAAGGCTATGTTGCTGGACTCCCATGTAGTTGACCCTAGTTCGAGTCCCGGACCTGGTGGCTTAAACTCATGCCGGGCGCGTGTGCATGTGTGCCCAAGATCCCGAGAGCAGGATGGAGGAGAAGGGATTGCAGCTTGGCCATCCTCCCTGGGGGGGTAATTTCTCGCTTTTCGTCTCTCTGTCTCCCTCTGTCTTTCTGGCAAGCACATGTGCCCTATAGCAAAAATCTACCCCCCCCACCAAAAAAAAAGAAAAAAAGAAAAAAAGAGAAAAAGGGATATGTACTCTTCCTAGCCTTTATACTAAATAGCCCAAAACTGAAATTCATAATATAAGTTGAAAAAAAAATTAAACAAAAGACTTATACTAGTTTTAAGAATATAAAAACTATTAAAAAGTTAATTATAAAGTCTGGCATTTGGTGTGTTGAAGGTGTTGTACTTCCACATGGCCAACTGTGGTTCAATTCACAGATCTGGAGGCTTGAACAATTACACCAGGCATGTGTGCACGTATGCCCCAAATCCCAGGAGGATAATGGAGGAGAAGGGATTGAGATGCGGCCATCCCCACTGGGGAGGGTGATTTCTCACTTTCCTTCTCTGTATCTGGTTCCCCCTCTCTCTCAGGCAGGTGTACATGCCCAATGGCAAAAAATTTAAAAGAAAAGTTAATTATAAACCAAGTTTCTTTTGCCCTACATGGATAAAATGTCACTTGACATTCTAGTGACATGTAGAAATTAACACGATTTCTCAAAGTGCTTAACTTCTTCAATATGCCCTTAGAACATCTGGGTGGTGGAAATTCCTCTCTCTCTCTCTCTTTTTGTTTTTTTGAGAGATTTTTGCTATAGGGCACATGCACTTGCCAGAAAGAGAGAGACAGAGAGTCAGAAAGCGAGAAATCACCACCCAGGGGGGCTGGCCACGCCACAATCCCTTCTCCTCCATTCTCCTCTCGGGATCTTGGGCACACACACACCCGGTGTGAGTTTAAGTCACCGGGTCTGGGACTCGAACTGCAGTCAACTACATGGGAGTTCAGCGACATAGCCATTACGCCAACTGCTGGTCCCGAAAACCTCTCTTAAAAAAAAAAAAAATCGCCAGCGGGCATGTACACTCACCACAAATAAGAGTGACAGAAGGAGACAGGACAAAGCAGCTTCCAATGGGACATGGCCATGCTGTAAATCCTTCTTCCTTCAGTTCTTCATCCTGTCTAGATTTTAGGTGCCTGGTGTGTTTTTCAATCCATGGTCAACCATGTGAGATCTGGCTCCTTTGACCACTAGGCTACAGGGCCAGCTCAAAACTTGTTTTAAAAATCTATGTGATAGGGGTTAGCAGGAGGCATGGTGGTTAAGGTCGCTGGACTCCCACATGGCTGACTATGGTTCAAGTCTCGGACCTGGTGGCTTGCTTTCTCTGTCTCTTTCTCTTCTCTCTGTCTCTGGTCAAATTAAAATAAATGAATAAATAAATAAAATTAAATAAATAATTCTTAAAAAATCTGTATGACAACAAATAGCTAAATATGTAACGTGAGGAGAAAAAAAATTGAATTCTGATGTGGCTTTCTGATACTAAGTTGTGGTGTGACTAGCCAAATCACTTAACCTTTTGAGCTTTAATTGTTGAGCCTATAAATTTAAGGGGTTGGTATAAGTGATGTTTGGCATTGCAAAATATACAAGTCAGCATCTAAAAAGAGAGCTTTAGTAACAGTAACAAGGCTGACTAAACTAGCATAGATGCATTGCAACCACAGTAATGTCTGAAAAATAAACAAGCAAACAAAATTAAAATAAATACAGAGTGGAGTTAAAAAAATGAATGGCAATTCCTCATTTTTGGAAGTGAATAGAGAAAAGATATTTGGAATTAAAAGTGCAGGAGTTGTCTTTGCAGCTGCTGGAGGGCATGCAAGGCCTAGCTACAGGTTCTGGAAATAGAGGTTGAGGTTTTTATCACACACTTATGGACAGGAGATACAGCATTAGAACTGTATAATGCTGGGGCCTGGCCCTGAGATCCCTGCATAAAACAGGACTTGGAAATAGCAGTCCCTCTAAGAGAAGGGAGAAGAAAAGCTGCCCAGTGGCTTAGAAAGACAAAGGAAAGTTTTTTTGTTTTTGGTTTTTCTTTTTGCTACAGGGCACATGAGCCTGCCAGGGAAAAAGAGAAAGAGAGAAAGAGAGAGAGAGAGAGAGAGAGAGAGAGAGAAGAAAACTGAGAAATCATCCTCCGAGGGGGATGGTCACACCAAAATCCCTTCTCTCTTAGTCTCATCTCAGGACTTTGGGCACTCATGCACACACGTGCAGCGTGATCCCCAAACTGCAAGGTCTGGGACTCCCAACTGCCTTAACTTCCATGACACTTGTTGGTTCCAAGAAGGCTTTTTATCTGGTTTCATATCTGTATGGAAAAATGGATCCCATGGTAATTCCAAGTGTCATTTTTCTACTATGCAAGGTTTAGTTAGACTTATATTTACCACGTGGTGTGGGAATCCAGAACCAAGAAATTAGTAGAAAACCAATCTCAGATTAGCAAACTCTCTGGCTGGAAGAAGTATTGCAAACACTTTTGAGGAAGTGTTTTTATGAAAGATACACAAGATTCCTACTGAAAACAAAAACAACAAACAAAAAGTTTATATTGAAGAAAAGCTAACAATAAAAGGTTGCAAAACACATGAAAAAATAATTTATCATTTTAAAAGTCAACAGACACAATGAGTAGAAGGATTAGTAACCATGGTCTCAACATAAAACAATTTAGAGACCATTAAATAAATACATTTGTAATGATTATTTAACTAAAAAGAAATTGAAATGAAAGGTAATAAAACTATTATGAAAAATAACTGAATATATGTATAGAAATAAAAACATATTATCATAGATATTAAAATGCAACGCTTTGGATTAAACATTTCATTTAGCATCAGAGATATCTAAATAAAACCACTCAGGCTGTAGCATAAAAGGTTCAAGAGAAAAAAACTAGTGAGCAATGGGAGGATAAGGTCCAGAAAGAGGTGTAGAAAGGATAAAGGAAAAGTGCCAGCAGGTGGCGTGGTAGTTAGGGTGGTAGATTCCCACACGGTCGACTGCAGTTCCAATCCCAGACCCAGTGGGATGAAACTCATGCTGGGCATATATGCACACGTGCCCAAAATCCCAGGAGGAGAATGGAGAAGGAACTGTGGTGTGGCCGTTTCCCCTGGCGGATGATTTCTCACTTTCCCCCTCTCTCTTTCTCTCTGTCGCTCTCCTCTCTGGTGAGCGCACATGCCCTATGGCAAAAACCTAGAAAATAAAAAAAAAAAATAGGGAGATGCATCATTCAGAGTTGTGATCGACAATTTCTCAAAATCGATCAAAGAAATGAAATCTCATATTGAACAAGGACAATTAATTCTGTGCAAAAGAAAAAAAAAGATTCTCATGCTTTGACATATCATAGATAAACTGTATACCACCAGTGACAAGAGAAAAGTCTTAAAAGCAATGAAAGAGAAAGGACAGTTTATTTATAAAGTAATGACAATTTAACAGCCTATCAATACTCAGCAATAGAAGCTTGTATACAATGAAATATTATCTTTAAAAGACTAAAGGAAAATAACTGCTAAAATATCTAAAATTTTACTTAAGAATAAAGTGAAAATAAAGCCAGTTTAGGCAAAGTCTGTAAGGCTTTAGCATTCACTGACTCTGACAAAAAATAAAACATTCAGTGATCCCAACAGAAGGGAACTCTTTATCTATAACAGAGGGGAAGAGAGAGAGAGAGAGAGAGAGAGAGAGAGAACCCTCCAATGAGGCCTGGTCACACAGCAATCTCCTTACCTAACTTCCTCTGTCCCATCAGGGTCCTGGACACATGCACATATGCTTAGCATGGCCTGGCCTGGATTTGACCCACAGTCATGTGGGAGCCAGCTTCTTTAACAGCTGTGCTATGGGACTGGCTCAAAAGTGAATTTTTTTTTTTTTAATGGCTTCTTTCTTCCTTGGATGCTTTGTAGATGTCATGCAGGTCTAAAAGTTACACTGATAAAGAAAAATTATTTAAAAACTGACCAGGACTAGGACCAGCAGATGGAGTAATTGTTACTTTGCTGGACTCCCACATGATTGACTGTGGTTTGAGTCCTGGACCCGGAGCTTTGAAACTCGCGCTGGGTGCATGGGCATGCATACCCAAATCCTGAGGGGAGAATGGAGAAGCAGGATTGCTGTGTGGCCATTCCCCCTGGGGGATGATTTCTTGCTTTCTGTCTCTGTCTCTTTGGTGAGTGCACATGCCCTATTGCAAAAATCTCTCTACCAAAACCAACCAACCAACCAATCAAACAAACAAACAAAAAAATTGACTAGGACTAAGGTCCAGAACTCAGAGCTCCAAACCAGAAGCAAAACGAATAGGGGCAGTGGGCTGGGGGTATTTGTCCAACATCACCAAAACCCAGAAAATGAAGATCTTGAGCTCCTTCAGTGCCAAATCCAGGGCTTGGGCCATTGAGCCAGCCTTCAGGAGCCTCTGGCTGCATCCCTCTCTGACAAGAAAGCCAGCACTGGACTGGAGGACAACGCCATGGAGTACAGACGTGGAAACAGACAGGTATTATTTAGCTGTAGATAAGATAACAGAGTGCAGCTAAGACAGGTTGAGGGATGGAGAGGGGCCGGGGGAGCAGTACTGCAGCAATGCAGGAGTGCAGCCCCAGGGTCCTGTGCTGAGTGGTGGTCAGGGTAGCAGCAGTTAGTTCCCAGATGGAGCTCCTGACCCCAACCAGGGCAGAGGGCTCACACGTCGTGGGGCCTCTTGGTGCACTGAGGCTCCTCACCCACCAGCTTGGACTTGAGGTGCTCCTTATAAGCCAGGATGTCTCCAGGTCTCTTAGTGATTGTCTGCTTCTCAGAGACCCAAATTTCCTGTGTGACCTGCGACTAGCATCCTCCCACCCTCAAACTCACTGATGGCATCTGCCAGCGCATCGATGATCTCGATATCCAGGGGACTGGTGTACTCATCCAGGCAGAGCATGGGGCAGGTGGTTTGCCAGAGCAGCCAGGCCAGACACACTCGGCATGTTTTCCATCTGACAGGTTCTGGAGTGGGCTCACCTGCTGTTTCCCAGTGAAACCACTTCGCCCAGTGATCCTCCTCATTTCTTCCTTCTCCTTGATCTCTGGGTAGCACGTCATCATGGACTCCAAAGGTGAGAGATCTAAATCCAGCTGCTCTTGTCGATGCTCATGGTAACGCCTGATTTTGAGAGTGTTTTCAGATCATCCCATCTGTGAAGAGTAGCTCCAGTCAGCATCTTCAGGAGCGTTGACCTCCCTGCTCCGTTGGGAACTAAAATATTATTTGTCTATTATAATTATATATAAGACTAGAGGGCTTTTGGTTGTAGTTAAGTTTTTTTTATATTTAAAAAATTTTGATAGGCTGGTAATCTTTGTTAAATCAAGTATGCATTTGAACATTAGAAGAAGTATCATCAACTAAATAGAAAAAGATTATTTAATTTTCAAAGCTGAAAAGGGTAAAAATGGTAAGGAGAGAGCTAAGGAGAAAATCTTAACCAAAGCAATAGACAAAGGAAAGAAGAAAAAGAGCAAAGACAATGTTAGACAGAAAACAAAATAAGTTTGTAGGAATATATTCAATATAGTAATACAGACAGGTTGGATTTGTCAGTTAAAGAGGAGAAACTCACATTTAATTAAAAAATATCCAGTTATATGTCATTTACAAGAGATGCAATTGTAATGATGCACAACTTTTGAAGGTAAAAAAAACGAGAAAAGAAATACTGAAAATAAAAACAAGCCATGAAAAGTTGATAGAGCAATATTAATTTCATATCAAACAGCCTTTAAGGTGAAATCAATTAGACCTTGTGGAGATAGAGTTAGTTTACAGCTGGACAAAAAAACCTGTATGTTTATCTCGGGATTCTTGAATGTCTAGCTTTGACCCTTGGCCAAGACAAGGGCAGTAGAATTTGTGATGTGCTGTTTATGGTCCAAAACTTCCCTGGTGACCCTCAGGGTCAGTTTCTTTATGGTATGCTGGATTGCAACTGACTTAACTGATTTGATAAACTGGCTTGATCATGGTCAGGAGAACTTAAAAGGCTCTCTACTGAAAACTCTTTGAGTTCTCCTGAAGCATAAATTCTTTGCACACATTTTGGTCATTTAAGTTTGACCCTGGGGAGCTTGCCTGCATTCTCTTTCTCTTGCTACATTGTGTCCTCCTCCTCTTCTTCTTCTTTTAATATTTTTAATTTGATTTGCTCATTTACTTATTTTATTTTGACCAGAGAGAGAGAGAGAGAGAGGGAGAGAGAGAGAAAGTGAGAAAGCAAGCTACCAGGTCCAGGACTTGAACCATGGTTGGCCATGTGGGAATGTCCAGTGCCTTAACCACCACACCACCTGCTGGTCCCCTCTTCTTTTTTTAATTGCCAGAGAGTGCGTGCACTCCCCAGAGAGGTAGAAAGAGTGAGGGAGCAAGAGAGACACACTCCTGTGAGTGTCTTCCTTCTCCTCTGTTTATCCACCCTGTTGGGACTTTGGGTATGCACACGCATGTACCCAGTGTGTTTTCAAGCTGCTGAAGCTGGGGTTTAAACTGTAGTCAGCCATGGGGGATCCAGCTCCCTTCATGTTAGGTCCTGGGGCTGACCCACTACACTGTATCTTGTGCCTTTAAAGAAAAGCCCACGTACACATACTCCGAGAAGCCTGGTGAATACTTTCAAACATCCGGATTGAGATAAATTTTTCAGAGATAAAGAGGTTCACTATATGATGAAAAAAATACTGTTTTACCCAAATGATGTAGACTCCTCAACCTTATGTAAGCACCAAGCAACATGATCTCAAATTAGACAAGGCAAAAATAGAGAAAAATTACTCAGGACAAATCCAGTCACTTCTTTTAGAAACTGTTAAATCAAGCACAAAAGGTTTTCCAAAAGTTCATGGAAAATATATATTATGGTAAAAAAAAATTCTGTGGATTTCAAATTTGTGCGTGCCAAAATAAATTTTACTTTAAGTTTTCGTAGACTTTCTGAAACCCACTTGACTTCAAAACTTGAAGTTTAGTTTCTCTGCTCTCCCTTTCACTTCCTGTGACTGCATCTACCTGTGGGACTAAGCCTTGGGAAGACAGAAAGAGAAGCAATGGGATTTCCCCTGCCCCAGCCCCCCATGTTCTTCGGACCCTTGTTCTTCCAGCCAAAGAGAAGGGGTTCCTCCCTTAGTTTTCCATGCCTGCACAGTGGGCATGGTCTTGCTGTCTGCTGCCTTATGGGATTATCCAGCATCTGGAATTGGAGAAAACAGAAAGAAAGAAAAACAAAACCACCCCAGGGACTTTGCCTCCCTCTCTTTGATCCTTAGGGGGTTCAGTCTCACAAGGTCTCTCCCCCTGGCAGGGAGGCCGAAGTGAGATGCTGGGAGTTGAAAGAAGACATGGGGTAATGGAGGCTTGTTGGATGTAATGTTTATTTTCCAGCCAAGGCAGCCAAGCCCCCTTAGCTGTAGCCCTATCATTTTATATGAGGCTGAGACAAAAAGTGACACAGTGCTGTGGCGTCAGCCATGGTTACTCGAGGTGCATGTGCGCTGTGGACCCTTACGTAGCGTATTTTATATGAGGCTGAGACAAAAAGAGGCACAGTGCTGTGGCGTCGGCCATGGTTACTCAAGGTGGTGCATGTGCGCTGTGGACCCTTACGTAGCGTGATTAATAAGTACGGTAAAAAAAAATACCCTGGAGGGAGCCAGCCTGACTCCATTTTCCCCACAGGCGCCTTGTCCTGCTCTTTGAACCAGGAGAGAGCTTCTCTTGGACCTTTTACTATTTGCACTAGTGCAAAGTTCTTGGTTTGGGGATGCTTTTGGGTCTAAGGCCAGAAAATAGCGGGGAAAAGAGCAGAAAGAGTGGACGAGTCTTACTCTGAGATCTGCCCCCGCCCCCACAATCAGCCGGCCGTCATTTACTTTTTAGAGTCCTCACATAATTGCTCCATGCATTCTGTTCAGGACTTTCTGTTACATAGGGTGAGGTGTGCTTACTTTATCACGATTGCAGCCACCCTGTGGAATCATTACCTTTTAATTAAAAATCATCAGTTTTATACTTTGTTCTCCCAGAGCCGGTTTTGTTCAGTTACCATAGAGTCCAAGCCTAAGGCTTTCCCCCTTAGCTTTAAAAATACACTATTGGGAATACGCATGAGATGATTTTCAAAAATTTACTGCACATGTGCTTTCTCTGTCTATGGGCATACGTCGCTAGTAGACGGAATTGCTGTCTCGGTGAACATGCATGTACTTTAATACCCAGGAGTTTTTCAGAAAAGATTTCTTCATTTGTTGCACATTTGGGTTTTTAAATGGAAAAAGAACAACCTGAAAGGCACTAGAACAGCAGGTTTCTTGTTGTGCAGCTTCATTTTTTGGCAGTTTCTTCCTACAGTTTTCCTCCGAAAGCATGGGATAGTCACCCCAGGCTCTGTACCCAGCCAGACTCCTTTTCAAAGACTGACTACGGTGCTAGTACAGTGCACAGTGGTTAACATTACACAACCACAGGGCTGACCTTTATTTTCAAAGTATTTTTCACAGTCTCAGAATACACCTAGGCAAAGAGCTTTGAATACATTCTCCAGCTAAAAGCAGCAAAGAGAAAACTTCCCTCTCATGTCCAGCAGGGCATGACAATAGTGAGTAAATAAAAAAAAAAAAAAATCACAGGGCCAGTAGGTGGTGTGGTGGTTAAGGGTTGTGGACTCCCATGTGGCCTACTGTGGTTCAAGTCCCAGATCTGGTGGCTTGCTTTCTCATTTTCTCTCTCCCTCTTTCTCTGTCTATCTCTTGTCAAATTAAAATATTATAATAATAAATAAAGTTAAATGAAATAATTCTTAAAAAAAAAATAAATGCAACTAGGACTGTTTTCCACATGAGAGCAACCATAAGAATACTGTTTGGGGACCAAACACTGTATGGTGACGTGGTGGTTGAGGCCCTGGACACTCTCATATGGCCGACCATGGTTTGAGTCGGACCTGGTGGCTTGCTTTCTCACTTTCCCTCTCTCTCTCTCTTTTTGTGTCTCTCTCTAGTCAAATTAAAATAAAATGAATTAATAATAAATAAAATTAATAAATAAAATAAAAGAAATAATTAAAAATAATACTGTCTTGAAAGTGACAAAGCATAATTTCTTGAGAAGAGTCACAACTATCATTGCTACCACTACCAACAACAGAGAAGAGAGGGGATGGGACGAAGAGAGAGAAGAGAAAGAGAGAGAATACACCATTCATTTAGTCAATTGGGCCTTTTTTATGTTTGAGAAATAATCATCCGTTGCTGTTTGTTTTTAAAACAGCAGGTGGCCCCTGAGACCTGAAATAGTTGAGTATGATATTTTATAGGACAGTGCAGAAATATAATTCCAGTAGGAAATCTAGTGTCAAGTCCTTTCACTAGGAAAGCAATCTATTACTTACATTTTCAAATCAGGCAGTCAAATGTACTATCCGAACTTCCCAGAATTAGTGTTGTTGCTGAGGAGTAACCAATGATACGGAGTCATAAGATCCAATTTTTTGTTAATCTTTTGCTGTGGGATAGCTAGCATAGGATTGTTGAGAGTCTTGCCATAGGTGGAGTTGTCTCTAGGGTCAGGAGATGCCTCAGTGAACACAGACTCAATAGCTGTAAAAGACGAAATAGGCAATGCTACTGAATAAGTTATTTTGAAAGAATTTGAGTTATTTTTTGGAGGGTTGGGAAAGAACAGGATAGAATTTGGCAATATTAAGAAGCCGAAACTTCCTGGTAAAACCATGTAATTGATTTTAAATGCTGTATAGTTTTTTCATAATACACTTTTTCCAGGAACTTTCTGAAGACCCCATGTCCCTGTAAAGGTACACACACACACACACACACACCCACACACACACACAAACACGAATGACATGTCTGTGTAAAGCCAGTTTCTGAAGGGTGAGACAATGAATAAAACTTAGAGCTAGAACTTACTATATTAGAGCTAGGGTGGCCCCACGTCTCAGTTTTCCTGGAAGACTCAATTTAAATCTGCTATCTGACACACTCAGTACATTTTAGCATTTGTCTCAGGCTTTTCATTTTTAGTGAATTTAAAGAAGTGCTAATACTCGCTGTGGTAGATATGAATATACACCACCCAGGTTTACCTTCAGGGAAGGATTTGCTTCCCAGCTGGAAGAGTATAGTCAGCAGACATGTCTAGCTGTGAGTTTCTTCAGGATCTGTTAGTGGTTCAGAGAAGATCATTCAAGGTCGCATCCTTTCCAGGGCAGCCTGCATCTGGTGACTGAATGAGGTGGGGGATGAAGGCCTGGCCATTTCACCCCAGTGGCAGAGGTGCTGCATTCTTACTGGCAATATTTGCTCCAGAGTTCTTTACGATGTTGACATGCATTTGTCAGCTTACGCCACAGTTCAACTTCTGCCCAATCTGCTTCCTCAACCTTCTTTACAGGTATTGATCCTTCTTAAACATCTTGCACTCCAAACTGTAAGGTCTGGGGGAAGGGAAAAGAAACATAGTGGAAACATCCCCTGCCCTTCAGCTTTTGGCCCGCCCACCAAAGTTGAACAGAAACTGTGAACTTCATTGGCCAGACAAGGATCCGTGGTGACCACGTATTGGACAAAAGCCCTTTAAGAACGAGCAGCACCCACCCTGCGAGGCCGAGGGACCTCACCGGAGAGTGCAGAATAGATTATGTTGGTTTTATTAAACCCCAAAGCCTGACTCTGGTATTTTCGCCTTTACCGCCTCTGACTTTGCCACCGCTCCCAAATCAAACCTAACATAAACTTCATCTCAGTATCTCTATCCGGAAAAGCTAACTGGTGACAGCTGGTAGCAGCACTTGGAGATAGTCTGATAATTGAATTTCAAAGAAGGGTAAATACCTAATCAAGGCAGTTGTATTTTGCCAAGCTCAGTATGAAGTGATCTGACACATGGGATGAAGACATCTGGGTAAATGTCCTCAAAAACTTTAAATCCCAGACACTTCTGAATGTTTAGAGCTACAAAAGGGATCCACCCCTCTCTAGTAAAAACTAGGAGTTCCCAGTGCTGGAAAACAATACCAAGTCCTTTCCTTTGAAAGGCAAAGGGAGACTCAAGGGCTTTCCCCACCTTCCTTTGCAGCTGTTAAATCTTTAACTGGAGTTCAGTTTCAGTATGTCCCAGCTAGGGCCTAACAAGGGAGGAAATGAACTGTACTCCAAGGGAACTGCAAGACCTCGCTAACACGAACCCCAGGGTATATGTACAGACCTGGATTTTAAGGGTGCTTGGTCAAGGGGAACAACACATTAAATTGGATAGGAAAAAGTTTGTTGATTTGAAAGTGCTTTTGATGACCAGGAATTGATATCCTGGCTAGTAGAATTCCATGCTGAGTAAAGATGAAATGCTAGGATTTCTGTGGCAGATAGTGGAGGAAGGAATTATAAACCTCAGGGGGGACCAGCCGTTAGCGTAATGGCTATGTATAACCCCGGGGGGGCCCCAGCCGTTAGCGTAATGGCTATGTCGCTGGACTCCCACGTAGTTGACTGCGGTTTGCGTCCCAGACCCGGTGGCTTAAAACTCTCGCAGGGCGCGTGTGCGTGCGTGCCCAAGATCCTGAGAGGAGAATGGAGGAGAAGGGATTGCAGTATGGCCATCCCCCCAGGGGGCGATTTCTCGCTTTCTGTCTCTCTCTCTCTCTCTGTCTTTCTGGCGAGCACACACACCCCATAGCAAAAACATCTAAAAAAACCCCAAAAACAAAAAACAAAACACCTCAGAGAACTGGGCACACTGGGTATACTATATGCAGCTGTAAGTCCCTCAGAGGATTATATTCCTTATCTTTGTTGGTATCACAAAATTAATTTTAAAAAAACAAAACAACTGTGATACATTATATGTGACATTAAGTTTACCACTTAAAATTTTTTTCAGTTCATTATAGAGAGTGCATGCCTGTGTCTGTGGAGGAGAGAGGAGGAGAGAGGAGGAGAGAGAGAGAGAGAGAGTGAGACAGAGAGAGAGAGAGATATTGAGAAGCACTTTTCAATAGGAGCTGGTCATGCTACTATCCCCTTTCCTCAGGCTTCCATCTTGTTAGGATTTTGGGCACATGAAATATCTTGAAATTTCATCCATGTTGTAGCATGTGTCAGAATTTCCTTCCTTTTAAGGGCTGACTAATATTCCTTTGTATGTATGTATATTCCACATTTTGTTATCTGCTCATCCATCAATGGACCCTTGTATTGCTTCTACCTTTTGATTATTTTGAATAAGTTTGTTGTGGACATGGATTTACAAATAACTGCTGAGTCTCTGCTTTCAATTCTTTTGACTATATATTTAGAAATGTAATTGCTTCTTCATACGATAATTCTATTTTTTCAATATTTTGTTATGATAAAGTGTATGTAACACATAATTTACCATCTTAATGTGTTTGATGATATTAAATACATTCTAATGTTGTGCAACCATCTCCATAATTCTTTTCTTCTTATAAAAGTGAAGCTTTATGGCTATTAAATGATAACTTTTCATAACTTCTTCACCCCAGTTCCTGGCAACTACTTTTATCTCTCTACGGTCTTGGGCTCAGCCTCCACACGCTGATTTTCTAGAAAGGTCTAGGTGCTCAGTAGCCAAATATCTGAATACTTTTAGAGTCAGATTAATCCTCAATTTCCATTGAATCAGCTGTGCAAAGGGAGAAAAACAGTACTGTTTACAGACTGCAGGTCACTTCTTTCTGCATTCTTCTGATTGCTCAGATTTAACTCCAAAACACAGAAAAAAAGTATAATCCATCAGATGATCAGAAACCACTGCAGAGGTGTAAGAAATATGAGAAATGAAGAAAATGTCTCTCCTCTAATGGAAAAGCATAACTCCTCTTCCTCTACAAAGAATACAACAGAACTCATGGAAATGTCCGATAAAGAATTTAAAATATTCAGTTACAAAGCTAACAGAGATGTAAGAGCATAGAGACAACGAACTTCAAAATGCAGGAGAAAAGAAACACTGAGTTCCAGGAGATGAGGAAGTTCTTGCACGATCTGGAAGAGGAGATACACACCATAAAAAAGAATCAAAGGGAACTGTTAGAAATGAAGGCTGTAATACCAGAAATCAAAACTTCCCTTGAAAATATCAAAAGTAGATTAGATCATGCAGAAGAACGAATCTCATATGTAGAAGATAGAATCTCTGACCTAGAGAAATTCACCAAAAAGACTGAGAAAATAACCCCCCCCAAATGAGAATAACATACGAGAAATACTAGATTCCATTAGATGCCCTAACATCTGAATAATTGGTAACCCAGAAGATGAAGAAACTAATAAGAGCATGGAAAACCTATTCCATGAAATCTTGGAAGAAAATTTCCCAAGTCTAGAGAGGCACATAAGCATCCAGACCCAAGAAATACAAAGGACCCTAAATGAAGATTTTCTTCAAGACACTTCATAGCCAAATTGTCCAAAACCACAGATAGAGACAAGATACTAAAATCGGCAAGAGAGAAATGTCAAGTTTCTTTCTAAGGATATCTCATAAGGCTAACATCGGACCTCTTATCAGAAACAATACAAGCAATGAAAGAATGGGAAAATGTATTCAGTGTTGAGTGAAAAGTAATTTCAACCGAGAATACTATACCCAGAAAGATTATCTTTCATATGGGAATAAAAGACAGAAACATTCTCAGATAAACAAAACCTGAAAGAATTTACCAATATCAGACCAGCTCTCCAAGAAGTGCTGAAGGGAGTGCTATACTAGGAAAACTAAAGTCAGATACACAGAAATAAGAGTACAAAAACAACCAAGAAAATGGTCAGCCTAATGGTAGGGACAAATCCAGAGTTGAATGTTAACTTCCAGGGTTTAGATGGAAAGATCAGATCATGGTAACACTGCAAATTCAATAGAAGAGAGATTAATTAGGTGAGTCTGAGCTAGTGAAATAGAATTTTTTTACTATAGACTAAAACATTACTGATCTTCTTTGATGCTTTGATTTCCATATTTAAGGATTTTTGTCTTTTCTTGAACTGTTGATAGGGTCATCTATCTACTATTTGAACTGAATCCTAATCTTTTTCTTGGATTTATGTTTTAAGTGAATTTCTCTTAATATTTTTAGATTTTTATCTATTAAAACTAAAACTATTTTTTGAAATGAAAAAATGCATTAAAATTACCTATTAATACCTATTTAATGACTGCAGTAAGCTGCATAGCTCCAGCTAGGTGGTACTTTCTAGTATGTTCACTTTACTCACTGAGGTTTATGCCTAAAGTCAGACATGCATTCATAAATATGTATATATCAGCTGTACTTGCTTTTGAAAGTCTTTAAATTAATTAAGATCTTTAATGAATCAAAAAAATGTGAAAAAAAGGCGTGGAAAACGACTGGACATACTAGAGATAGTGTGGGAGAGGTGGGGGAGTTGGCAGAGGGTGAGAGGTAGGGAATCAAGGGGGGGAAAACAAAATATATAAGAAACAAGAAATATAAAATTATTTGTTGATAATGTGTATGGTAATATCCTTAATTGAGTCAATATGCAATGTATACTGGATGGAGAATCTTATTTTGTATACTGTATGGGTGTACAAAGAATGACTGTTAGGGACCAGCAGTTAACGTAATGGCTATGTCGCTGGACTCCCACGTAGTTGAACGCGGTTCAAGTCCCAGACCCGGTGGCTTGAAACTTACGCCGGGCGTGTGTGTGTGAGTGCCCAAGATCCTGGGAGGAGAATGGAGGAGAAGGGATTACGTTGTGGCCATCTCCCCTGGGGGGTAATTTCTCGCTTTCTGTCTCTCTGTCTGGCGAGCTCACACGCCCTAAAGCAAAAACCTCTCCAAAAAAAAAAAAAAAGAATGACTGTTAATAAATAAATAAATAAAACCTACAAAAGTAAGAAAAACTACCCCCAATGAGTGTAAAATAGCTTCTCATTGTGTTTTGACTTGTATTTCCCTAATGATTAGTGATGTTGAGTGCTTTTTGACCATTTGTGTATCTTTTTTAGAGAAATGTTTATCCAAAGTCTTTGTCCATTGAAAAATTAAGTTAGGATTTATTTTTTTTTGAGTTGTAGGAGTTTATATTCTAATTAACACCCAATTAGATATATAATTTGCAAATATTTTCTCCATTTCTAGGATATGCTACAGAAATTATGTCATATCTAAGAAATAATTGTCAAATCCAATGTCATGAACCTTTTCTTCTGTTTTCTTTTATAATCGAACAATGAATGATCCATGGATAAATTCCCTATATGACATCAGAAACTAATTGGAAGGCCATTGAACTCACAAAAATGTGAAATCAGACTCTCCAAAGCCAATAAAGAGATTTAGGACCTCTTTCACCAGAAACTCTACCCCAGCTCTCTGCCAGATGTTCAAGAAGAGACCACCTACTTCTCAGCTTCAATAAAGGGAGGAAAGGTTTTAGTTCATGTATGCAGTGCAGTTATGTAATATGCAACAAAACGG